TCCCACAATGGAATATTTTTTAAGTGATATTTTGCTTAGGAACAATTTATTTCATGGTTACAAAAGTGCTACCTATTAAGTGAATTAGTAAGTGCTGGAGTGGTTATAATTGAAATACTCACAGCCAACTGTCCTATCAAAATGCAGATAATGTTAGCTTGGGAGAGTTTCCAAAGAAATGCTGCAATGACAGAAGCTTAACTGTACCAAGTCTAGAAGGCAATCTGTTTCCAGATAAAACAAAATATTGTAGCACACACACAAAAAAAAATCAACAGCAAAAAAAATTGATTACTTTCTTTTCTACAAGCAGAAATCAATATATCTAATACTGCATCATGTTGACTTAGATACACCATTTTGCTTGTGGCCACATAGAGGCTGTACCCAATGGTGTACAGGTAGTGTAGGATTAATTCAGTTTACATGGCTTCATGTCAATCACTTTTTTTTCAAAAAGATGAATCAAGCATGGCAGCCAAAGATGTTACTAAACTAAAGGCATAATGCAATATTTCCAAGAGAAAAATCCAAACAGGTAATAATAGTTTGTTACCATGTCCTAAAGATTTTTATTTGAAAAAGGTACAGATTGAATCACTAACTTACTGTATTTTCTGAAGTGTTTTCCTTCTATGGACACCTCTGGCATGTATTTTATTAGTCTTGCCTATCTAACACTGTAGTGCCAAGGCAATTGGGACTCCATCGCCTATGCAGGACAAAACCAGCAAGCTTGTCCTCCATCCTTTCCTGTTTCAAAGCAGGAAAAGGTGGCCAGGAATGCACCTGTTGGTTTTAGTGCCATGGCTGAATGCCAGCCAGGCAGGCAAATTCTCCCCCCATTTGGCTAAAGGGCCTCACTATTAGCAGTCAAAGCAAGAAAGGTTTTTCATGATCTTTGGTTCAGAGTTGTGGTGTCCTTGCTGCAACCTTTAGACCAGGAAGATAAACCTTTGGGTAAAAGACCTGATAAAAGCCCCTCTCCCCAACACTAATTCTAGTGGCTTCTTCCCTTGAGCCTTCCCTCTCTGCCATGGAGGGAAAAGATCATGTCTCCTATCAGCAGCTGATCTGAAAGCAGCAATTTCCCCTCCTTTTTTCAGTGCTTAACAGGGCAAAGCACATCTCTGAGCAGAGTCATCATAAGAAACTACTTTTTCTGAGCAAAGTTTGTCTTGCTTGACAGTAGACATGAAGAGAAATCTTATTTGTGACTCGGTAGATATGCAAAGGCCTTGTCCTACTTACTTAAAATCAATCAGGCACAATCCTATGCATGTTTAGACAAAACGAATTCTACAAATAGATGAATGTTAACTAGGGAATTGTTGGGAGTGAGAAAGATGGCTGCTTTGGCACTCATTCTCAAGGACTGCTGGCTGTGTTTCAGAAGAATCAGAATCGGAATGTGAAGCAGAACCGAGGGAAGTCTGGTGATGTGGGCCAAGCCGAGACACTATGATGAGAGAAGAGGAGCTCCTTATCTCAAGGCCAGGCTGCCCAGGTGGGCAGGCTGTCCCTGGGAATAACCAAGATGTACAGCTCGCAGGAAGAGACTTGGAGCAATGGAGTTTCTCAGACAAAGATCAGGCAGCCCCAGCTCTTCACCCACTGATGTGATATCAGCAGAGGAAGGTGACCCAATTAGAGAATCAGAGTGCATAGAGGAGCTATGCTCATTTTCAGAAGGCCCTTCCTAAAAAGATGGGGCCCAGGCATGCTGATATGAAGAGTTCCTGGAGGTGTACTAGATTGGATTCAACAAACTGCTCTGTGCATGCTCAGAGATGCATTCTCGGTGCTTTGTGCTTTATGGTCAATAAAGAATGCTTTGCAAGGAAAAAGGACTGTAACTTATGAATGCATGAAGGAGGGACCCCAGCTCATGACAGGAATTTTAGACATTGTAGGAATTTATCTAAACACGCATTTATTTTTATTTCTTTGAGTTAAAACTTTTGTATACAATACACTACCAAATGATCTCAGGATGGTCTTACAATAAAACAAAGTGGAGCACAGCATCCATTCTATCCAATAAAAACCCACTGAAAACCTCAATCTAAACCTTAACACACTGGGAAAGTAAAAAGGTTTTGGCTTGGCACTGAAAAGCATGTGTCAGCATCAGGCAAATCTCTTAAGGGCACATAAGATTGTGCCCTAATCCGCTTTGTTGTCCCCATCCATTTTGCCTTTGGTTCTGTCAGTTTGTCTTTGGTCTCACCCCAAGATGGAATGCAGGCCACAGAACCTTTTCCAGATTGGCATCCAGCCCTCAGGCTGAAAATGTTTTTCACCTTGGCCTTGGACCTATCCTTTGATACATTTCTGGTGGTAATGATGTAGTATTATCCTCCAACTGCAAATGGATGACCAAGCAGAGTGCCTAGGATCACACAATCTTTGCCCATAGCAAGATTTGAACCATGGATGTACCATCTCAAACTTAAGGCTATTATATCACATTACTTCTTACTTGACTTGGCAGGTCACTAATTACGCAGCCTTTGTATATGTTAACATCATCAAGTACAATTTTCCAGGTGTGAAATCATCATCATTGATCAACAGGTTGGTCAACATAAAAGTTTATTTGCACTCAATGCAACCTATTTAATAACATTAAAAGAGTTCTGTTCAATCAGACCAAGTCTCCATCTGATTCAATAGGAGTACAGAACAAATCTTTGGTGGCAGGACAAATTGCTCCCCCCCCCCCACAGGCATGGCCATGCCCACTGATACCATTATCCCACCTCTGCTCATTTTCACTTTCTCCATGCTGAAGACTGTGCCTCTCTCAAAGCAGAGAGAGGGACTGGCCAAGGGTCCTGCACCCTATAATATATATTTCTAAAATAGATCAGCCATATGCTGCCAGAAAAAACACAGTTTGTTCTCACTGTTAACTTACTTACCTGATATAACTGATGTTTTATTTAATGAATTTGGTTTTTAATCTTTATAGATTTGTATGTTTGGTTTTATTGTATTTTGTTTGCTGTAAACTGTCCAGAGAGTCATGTGGCTATTGCAACAATCTAGAAAGGCTTGAAATAAATTAATAAACTTGCACCAGAGGAATTCCGATCCATGTTTTGTCATCTGTTAACCTGAACCTTCCCATTTACTTGTCATGGCCACCAATAGTCACTGACACATCTGTCCTCCAGAGAGCTGCCTAACTTCAATTTCACATCATCTGGGTGCTGGTCTACACACACAACAGATTTATAAGAATGCTAGAGTCCCGAAGCACAGCACTGGTGGATGCTCTCTGCTACCACTTCATCTTGCCCTTTGCTGCCACACTGGTCCCCTTGTCTCTGCTTGCACATCATGCCCGCTTTCCCCCCCCCCCCCACTGCACATTCCCCTGCCCCTTCCATTTGCCACAACTGCATCAGCGCTATGTAAAATCATGTGGATGGAATGAGTGGCTGTGAAAGCTGTCTCATGAGATCTCTGCAGCTGTTTCTTCCAACCATGTGATTCTTCATAGAGCTGATGTAGCAGCAACAAAAATAAGGGCTATGACAACAGACAGAGGGCACAACTGGCTCTTCTGGAGAGCTCCACTAGATGCTCTCTCTGTGTGTGTGCAGAAAATGCCATGGTGGTAGGTAGGGCACCCACTGGAGGCAATAGGACAGCAGCAACAAGCCCTCCTGGCAGAGGTGGGAAAAGTGGCACAGTTCACTGCTTGTTCCACTCTATTGTCTGAGGTGGGCACATCATCCTGTTTCACAGGAGGGCCACGCTACTGAGGGAGAAAAGTGGACTATATCACTTGACTGCAGGGGGATGTTGATACTTTATGATGCTTTCCTTTCTTCCTCCTCCTCAAACAGAACAGAGCATATTGACTTTGCCACTATAAAAGCTGTAGGCTCTTATTCTCTTCTTTGCATGACAGCTTTCAATGACACAGAGAGTGTGCACAACTTTGAGTGCAAGTCATACTTACTAAATGGATGTGAACTGTGTACATGTAAATTTGTGGGACTGGCTCGCTGAAGCCAGACCGCACATCAGATGCTGTTATAACTTTTTAAAAGACCAAATATAAATAGGGTAAACTAACTAAATAAAGAGCCAGTGTGCTGTGCTGGTTAGAGTGATGGACTGGGGACCTGAGAGATCTGGGTTCAAGTCCCCACTAGGCCATGAAGCTCAGTGTGACTTTGGGTCAGCCACTCACTCTCTGCCTAATCTACTTCATTGGGTTGTTTTGAGGATAAAATGGAGCTCTGTAAGCTGCTTTGAGTTCCTCACAAGAGGAAAAAAGTGGGATATAAAAGCATTGTGATAACAACACTATATATTGATATCTGAGTTCTAAACATATGAACATAAATAGTTGTTTTATAACAGGCTCTTGCCTTCATGCTTTGCTTGTAGGCTTCTTAGAGGCATTTGACTGGCCAGTGAGGGAGAAAGGACGCTCTGATCTGATCCAACAAGAGTATTCTCAAATTTCTTACATCAAAGAATTTGTTCATCAAACCTAGCACTGTATGCTTTCACTGGTAGACACTTTCCAAGGTCGCAGGCAGCAGAAGTCTTTTGTATCACCTGTCACAACACCCTTTGAACTTGAGTTAGCAAGGATTTTCTACGTGCAAAGCATGTGCTCTGAGCCTCTTCAACTTATCTGCCTGCAATACTGGCATAATGCCATTCTTTAAGCATCTCCCCTGTAGTCCCTCTGTACATAAATACTTGGGAACAGACCTTACAGAATTTCTTGTGGGATTTCATTCCAAGTAACTACACATGGGATTGGGCAAAATGCCATTGACGAGTTTAAAAAAAATTGGCTCGCAGCTTGCTTCCTACTTGTAAACTCAGTCAAGGCAAAGATTTTAGTTGCCATGGAAACACATGGTTTTAAGAAAACACTTGCAGATTAACCCACTAGCAGATTAAACTTTGACCGTCAAATTCATGAAACAAAGGCCATCTTTGTCATGCAGGAAAAACATCATCCTCACCTTCCACGTTCAAACGCCACGGGAGGGATGCGGGATCTGCTTGGTAGCCGCAAGTGCTGTCCTCAAAGGCACAGGAGCCGGCAGAGAGTTCAACGGCCCCAGCTAACTGCAGAACTGGAGAGACAATGCGAGCTCAGTTCCAGTGCAAGGCGAACGGGGAATGAAAACAGCGGCGTAGAAAGTCTGCTCTTCAGGAAAGCAGGCGCTGCAGCTCTTGGATTAACGCCCGAGTGCAAGCACAACGCTACAAGGATGCAACCTGTTGCATTCACTTGCCTTCTTTGGCTATTTCTGAGAAAGGGCCGAGAGGAAGGCACTGTCCACAGCTTGCATTGAAAGCCAAGCAGGGTGGGTGGGTAGGCGGGCGGCTGGGGGAACCCGCACCAATCCACATCTGCAGGAGACGGGGGAACTCGGCTTCTGCCCCATCCCTCCCTCTTTCTCTCCCCTTACCTTGCACGCTGAGGAGACAGAGGAGGATCATTGTGGCCCTCGCAAGGAGGAAAAAGCAGCGGAGCTCTCTCTGGTGCTACTGAGGTAATGCAAGGGGGGGGGGGCGGAGAGCGGCCGCCTCGGTTGAACGAGGCTGCTAGCCCCAAAATAAGGCTAATTACAAAATGAAGCGCGCGCTTGCCATGCCAATGAAGGACTTAGAGAGGCAGGACACTGAAAAGGGACCAGCAGTAGCAGCAGTTAAACAGGGTATGGTTGGGGGAGGGTTGAGCCTGGATAGGCTGAGGGGAGCGCGCCCGCCCGCCCGCCAGCTGGTCTCAGGCTCGGGTGGGTGGAGAGAGGGACTGCTCGGAGGTCTTGCTTGACCAAGCGGACACTCTGCGAGTTGTGCGGAGAGCCGTGCAACCTCTACGCGGGGCTCCTTCTCTTCCCCCTTCCTCTTTAACCGGTACTGGCAACAGCTGCACAATCCGTCGTCCCATAGTTGCTCCTGCCGGGGCGGGGGGGGGGGGGAGAGAAGAGAAGGGCTGGGATTTCTCTCACTGTTCAAAGAGCAGAAGTTGTTGCTAAGACAGTCGACAAGCAGCCTGTGGTGATGGAAGCCGAGGACAAAACCTCTAAGGGTCTGTATGCCTGAACATAAGCCAACGAAGGCGACAAGTTCTCAGTTCCAGACGACTTTCGTTTGCTGTCAGGATGCATACATTGCATTTCCCTTAATGCTCAGTATTCTGCAGGGAGGGGTGTGTGGGTGAGTGTAATTTTCCCTTCACCATCCATCAAAAACGTTATTGCTGTTGTGATTCCAGTGTGGAACATGATTGGCTTAAGAATCATTGACTCACTGATTTGTACTCACGATGTCTGTCTCCCTCCCTCCCTGTCCCCCACACACGCTATTCAATTTAGTTACTTAACGGTACCAATGCAATAGTCGTGTAGTACTTTGAACCTGCTGTCGTTACTATTTTCTTGGTTTGTTGCCTTCTCTTCAACGGTGGAGCACATACCCCTCCCTTCCATTTTTAAAAAGTAAGTAAGGGTTTCTGGGTTCAATTTCTGTTTCCCTGGTGCAAGTCTGCTCTCATCCATTATGACTGGATGATGCAGATAACTAACAGTGGTTTAGGTTAATACATGAATAAGAAAGAAGTGCTTTTTGAGATTAAATATTTTGCAAATTTGCAGATGTTTGTCATATGATATGCCTCTGTACCTCCTTTCAAAGAAACTTCATACTTTCCTATCATGTAATAACAGTGCTTTTTTTGTAAGAAAAAAGGTGCTGGAACTCATGAAATTATTTACCTTTCGCACGTAGTCAGTCACTCTACACACCTCCACACACATCAGTTGTGTAATGAAACATAATGGTCGCCACCCTCAGTAAACACTCGGTGCACGACCAATCACAAGCTGAGCAGCGCCATCGCAACCAGCACAGACAAAGTACACATGCATTGGACTCGACACACAAGCAGCCCGCATGCACCATTTTAATGATTTTGCCGCCAACCTGCTATGCTCGACAGGGCGATTCAAATCCATGTGGACCAATCATCAAATTTTCAAAAGTTACTTTTAAAACTTGGAAAATCTGTCGAAAAAAAGGTGCCAGAACTCCGTTCCAGTGCATTCTATGACAAAAAAAGCACTGTGTAATATACAGTATCTGAATACAGTATTTTATTGTCCCTGGTGGCAATTTAGTGCAGAGTTAGCAGAAATCAGCTCTCTAGGTGTTTTGGATTTCAACTCCCAGAAGCCCCTTGCTAAGTATGCCTAATGGTCAAGATTGTTGGAAGCAGAGCTCTCAAATGAATGGAGATCTACTTTTTCCCAGCCCCTAATCTGGTGCTGTTACGGCCAGCCTTGAGTGGCCTAATCAGCCAGACAATACTGTCTCCATCTTACCCAGGCCAAGAGGCAATCAGTTGCAGGTTTCTGCTAAACAAAAAGCTGGGTCACCAGACACTAGCGTTGCAATACAGGTTACCTGCCTGAGAGCATCACTTAGCAACACAATGGATTCAAGGTCACCAGGTGCCTGATCAATAAAAACCTTCTCCAATCCATCTCAAAGCTAGGGATGAGCCATTGCCAGGCAGTCAGCAAACTATCATATAGCAAAAAGAAAAAACCTTAGCTAGATGAGAGAAGATACAATTGCCAAGACAGGTGTCCAAGTCTCCTTACCAATGGCAGGAATGAACATTCAGATCCATAGGGAAGATTTAACTTGCCAGCATTTTTATTGGTGAGATCACCCAGGCCCCCTGCAGTTTACTTAAGACAGGATGCTACTGGGTAGTGGTCTTCACCACCAACTACAAACTTTTAGAACATACACAGAGTGCTTTATAGATTCTGAGTCACAGAACATAGCAGCTGATCAGGTGATGACAAGATAAGAGGAACACAGTAAAAGAGAATCTGAGGGAGCTGCAGAGGAGGCTTAATACAACAAGCCCTCCTTTGCCTCTTAGCACAGGTATAGGATACAAGCAAGTGAGTCAATCCAAATAAATCCTGTTATATACCTTCCTTTCTCCCAGAAGGCAACTCCCATTCCCAGGAGGAATAATTAATCCAAGGCTAAATTGGTGTAAGGTGTGAATTATTCCACTTGATGGGGAGCACATGTTTGCTGAGAGTTGAAAGGGCAGAGAAAAGGGAAACAGATGGAAAAGTATCAGGGAAAGAGAAAAATGCAATGCCAATGCTACTAGCCCTCTTAGGAAGCCCCTTGGCCCTTTTGCCCCCCCCCCCCGCCGCCGCCGCCGCCGCCGCCACCCTACTTCCTCACAGTAATGCCACCCAATCTTTACTGAGGCCTGGTTTCTGACTTCCTAGGCCTCTCTTGATCATTGTGGCTTAAGAATTTCATCCTCATCTGGGCTAAGGCCCTTATAATGATGACTGTTCTGTCTGAGGCCACTATCTGTTCTGGTCAGCAAACCTGGGTTTCCCTGCATTGCAAATGGGGTTCAGTATCAGGTGAGGCAATTTCCTGGCACCCAAGTCAGTTATTTGGCTTGTGTATGAGGCAATTCTTAGAGATTTTGTTGTCTATGCTTCACTCAGTTTCTTCTGCTGTGGACTTGGCTGTCCTTTGTTTCCTTGTGGAGGATGCAAGGAGCAAGACAGAACACAGAAATGGATTCCAGTAGTGTCTATCACAGACACTGTAGTTCCTGGAGCCAGAGCATAGCCTGAGGATGTGGAGGACTTTTCAGGATGTGGAGGACTTTGAGAGATAGTGTCTTTTCTCTGACGTGTCTCTTCACAGGTTCAGTCACTCAGCTGTAATAAGTGGCACAGTTCATCTGGTGTATGAAAGAGTACAGCTCAAAAGCAGGTGAATTAAAGAAAAAGGCTTTTACATTACTTCACAGAAGCTAGTTGTAGGCAGGAGCAGAAAGATGCACGTTAGTTGAGTAAGAAGGCTGGGAAAGAAGGTGAAAAGTCTGTGTGTTTTTTTTAAGCCTTGCTCCCGCACAAATCTTTTTAGCGCAGTCTCAAATCTCTGGGTTGTTGTGTTTTGCCCCTTGTCTTCTAGCTCACCTGCATCCCTGGGCTAGCAAATGGGCTCAGCCCCCAGCAAACATTAGGCTACTGTAAGGGAAATTTTCTTTTAGTGTCATCATTAAACACTTTCCCCCTCTAATGCTGGTGTAAAACACACCCTACAGATTTCTTTCCTTGTGAATTTTGGGGTCTGATAAGAGATACTTGGCAACATTGCAAAAAGGGAAAACCAACTTCTTGTTGAACCCTACCCCCCGCCACACACACAACATTCTTATTGCGTCTCAGTCTTACCCCACATCCCAAACAATTGCATGTTCAACAGAGGGAAAAAAACAGCCAGGGAAACAAAAATGTTTTTATTACCTGCCTGATACGGTGGATTTCTAACAGCAGCCCTCATGTGAGAAGGAGGGCAAGATATGTGCTCAGAGCTATTCTGTGTTCACAGGGCTTGCAACCCCCACCCTTCACTGCCTCTGGGCCATCTAAGGATTACTACAATCAGTCTTCCCGTTGATTTTACAATTTCCCTTGTGAACTCCAGCCTGCTACTGCTCAGGTATTTGCTTAACACAACAATTCAAATTTCCAGGACTTTACCAACCAGTTTCTCAAAAATATAAAACCTTTCCCTCTGTATCTTTGCCTCTCCCCGCTTCATTATTTTTCCCTGGAATTCCTTTCAGAATCCCTAACCTGAAAATTCTCAACGTTTTTTTCTTTTGGCATTTTTTCTCTTTTTCTAGCCACTATACATCTGCCTCCTCTTCTGCAATTGCAAATGCAATCATTTAGTCTAACAAAAAGGAAAGCTTTCTACCTAGGGGAGAAGACTTAAGCAGATGGAGGTGGCTCAAAAACTTGCAAGACATTAAACAGGAAAGAAAACTGCTGTTCCCACTTTCTGAGAAGGAAGGGATCTGCATCAAATTTTTTCCTCTATAACTCCCCCTTGCTAACAGGGGGTCTCACACAGGATAGGCTTATTGAGGATGTCCAGAGAACAGGGTAGGACCTGTTTGCAAGCCCAGTTTTAAAGGGCCACACATTTCCTCTCCTCTCTGGCTCATTTTTGTGGGATGAGAGAAGGAAAGAATTCACATGCCCTGGTCACCACCCTTTTCAGGCAAATGACCTCATGAATCTGTTTATCAATCACACATCCCCATCTCAGGGACAAGAATACTCATCTAACACCCTGGTGCTTTCAACCTTGCCCTGGTCATCAGCAATCAACCTAGCAGGACAGGTTGGGACAGCTGCATGGGGAGCCTCTATTTCCTGGGGAACCTTCCCCCAAAAACTCCACTCTGGGTTATGTCTACCTCCCAGAAAGGGAAACACTTTAAAATGCAGACAAGACAGAACACACACAGAAGCAACAATGAACACAAAACTTTACATAGATCCCCAGAGCAAACATGTCCTACACTCACATGTGTAGATCTTTAAACAAATCCCTCCTTTTGTGGTTGTTGTATCCCGCAGTTTTGCAGATGAGACCAGAG